CATGGGATCAGCATGAGTCTGAACCAACTTGATAGTACACTTTTTGTTTGTTTGTTTTAATTTACCAAGCACCATGAATATAATGATGAGCTGAGCATGATCAGTTTCCTTTATTGCTTCCTCAATATTTATTTTTCCCATAATACACTTCACCAATAATAAAGGCTCAACACCCCATTCTATTTTCTGACTCCAATCTCCCTCCACTAGACCATAGGCCTCTTGAACACAGGGTATGTCTGTTTCGTTTTACTATGCTGAATATGGTAGGTTGTTGTACTAAACATAAAATAAGGAGCTCTGGTAGCATAGTGGTTACAAATATGGTTTAGAACTGCAAGGTCAACAGTTCGAAACTACCAGCTGTTCCGTGGGATAAAGATGAGGCATTCTGCTCCCGTGAAGATTTACAGCCTCGGAAATCCTGTACAGGGTTGCCAAGGGCTAGAACACACTCCACGGCATGCAGCAGCAGCAGCAAACATAAAATACAAGGGTTCTTCCAAAAGTTTGTGGAAAAAAATGCTACTTTTTTTTTATTCTATTTTTCCATGAACTCACTGAAGCCTCCTCATATTTATTCATGAATGAAAAAAATCAAATGAACTGGAAAGTTGTATCTCATGCAAATTCAAACAAATTCACATTCTTAAGCCTCAATGGGCTTTTCAGTGATTGAATCTTTGCTTATTTACTCCCGCTACCTCCTAAGACCACCATCTGCCTGTCAGCTTACTGTACTGCGGTGGTTTGAGTGTTGCTGTGATTCTGGAAGCTATGCCATCAGTATTTTAAATACCAACAAGGTCAACCATGGTGAAGAGGTTTCAGTGGAGCTTTCAGACTAAGACAGACTAGAGAGGAGAGTAAGAATAATTCTGAATGTTTCCACTGAAAATCTTATGAATAGCATCAGAACATCGTCTGATATAGTACAAGAAGATGAAAACATTGCCAGGTATAGTTCCAGATATAAGGCCTTCAGTTTGGAAAGTAATCAAAATATGACTGAGAAAGAGCTGCCTTCTCAATGTAGAGAGATTATGATGACATAAATGGAGCCAAGCTTTTGGGACCTTCATTTGCTGATAGGGCACAACTCAAAATGAAGAGAAACAGATGCAAATGTCCATTAATAATCAGAACATGAAATAGATAGCTAGGAAAATTGGATGCTGTCATAAATGAAGTGGAAAGCATTTCATAGATATCCTAGGTATTAATGAGCTGGAATAGACTGGTATTGATCATTTTGAATCTGACACTCATAGGGTTTACTATGCCAAGAAAGATAAATTCAAGACGAATGGCATGGCCTTCATCATCAAGAACATTTCAAGGTCTGTCTGAAGTACGATGCTATCTGTAATAGGATAATATCTATACACCTATAGGAAAAACAGTTAATACCACTATTATTTAAATTTACTCACAACCATTATAGCTAGTAATGATGAAATTGAAGAATTCTACCAACTTTTTCATTCTGAAATTGATCAAATAAACAATCAGGATGCAATGATAATTACTGGTGATTGGAATGAGAAGATTGGAAACAAAGGAAGGATCAGTAGTTAGAAAATATGGTCTTGGTGATAGAAATCATGATGGAGACCACATGACAGAATTTTGCAAGACCAATGACTTATTCATTGCAGAAACCTTTATTAAACCATCTCAATAACATATTTGATGCATTAGACACTAATGACCAAAGACCAGAAGAGTTATGGGATGGCAATAAGAATATCATACAGGAAGAAAGCATAAAGTCAGTTAAAATACTGGAAAAGAACATTTCAAAGGGCAGCTTGAGATGTCAGTCAAGTATTATAATGAAGTATGCAAAGACCTGGAGTTAAAAAACAAAAAGGGAAGAACATGTTCAGCATTTCTCAAACTGAAAGAAGAAAAACTTCAAACCTCAACTTGAAATACTGAAGGATTCTAGGAACAAAATATTGAATGATGCAAGAAGCATCAAAAGAAGATGAAAGGAATACAGAGTCACTGTACCCAAAATAAATGGTCAATGTTTTAGCATTTTAAGTAGTAGCATGTGATCAAGAGCCAAAGGCAACTGAAGGAAGAAGTCCAAGCTGCACTGAAGGCACTGTTAAAAACAAGATTTTGGAGTTGATGGAATAGAAATTGAAATCTTTCAACAAACTGATATAGTCCTGGAGGTGCTCACCAACAAATTTGACAGACAGCTACTAGTCAACTGATTAGAAGCGATTAATATTTGTGTCTATTTCAAAAAGAGATGACTTGATGGAATGCAGATCATTGAACAGCATCATTAATATCACATGCAAGAACTCTTTTGATAAAGCTAATTAAAAAACAGGTAACAACAGTATATTGACAGAGAATTGCCAGATAGTCAAGCTGTATTCAAAAGAGGACATGGAACTAGGGATATTACTGCTAATATCAGATGGATCTTGGCTGAAAACAAAGAATACCCAGAAAGATATTTACTTATACTTTATTGATTGCGCAAATGCTTTCAATTGTGGGGATCATGACACGTTATGGATCACATTGTGAGGAATGGGTATTCCAGAGCACTTGATTGTGTCCCTGAGGAACTTGTACATGGACCAAGAGGCAGTTGTTAGAATGGAACAACGAGATACTGAATGGTTTGTTAAGTGCCGTAGAGTCAGTTCCAACTCATAGTGACCCTGCACAGGGTTTCTGAGGCTGTAAATCTTTATGGGAGCAGAAAGCCTCATCTTTCTTCCGCGGAATCGCTGGTAGTTTCGAACTGCTGACCTTGCAGTTCACAGCCTGATTCGTAACCACTACGCTACCAGAGCTCCTTACTGAATGGTTAGGAATCAGGAAAGGCATGTGTCAGGACTGTGCTGTTTTAAAATACTTATTCAATCTGTATACTGAGGAAATAATCAGAGAAGCTGAATTATATGAAGAAGAACATGGCATCAGGATTAGAAGAAGACTCATTTACAATTTGTGATATGTAAATATACTATCTTGCTTGCTGGGAGAGAAGAGGACTTACAATACTTAACTGATGAAGGTCAAAGACCAGAGCCTTCAGTATGGGTTGTACCTCAATGCAAGGAAAATACAAATCCTCACAACTGGACCAATAAATATCATCATGATAAATGGAGAAAATATTAAAGTTGTCAAATTGCTTGGCTCCACAATCAACACTCATGGAAGTATCTGTCAAAAACCCAAATGACTTACTGAATTAGGCAAATCTGTTGCACAAGACCTCTGTAAACCATTGCAGAGCAAAGATACCAGTTTGAGGACTAAGGATGTGCCTGACCCTAGTCATAGTGTTTTCAATTGTCTCTTATGTACGTGAAAGTTGGACAATGGTTAAGGAAGATATAGAAGAAATAATGCATTTGAATTATGGTGCTGGAGAAGGATATTAAAAAGTACCATGGACTGAAAGAAAACAAACAAATTTGAGTTGGAAGTACAGCCAGAATGTTCCCTAGAAACTAGGATGGCGAGATTTTATCTCTTATACGTTGGACATATTATCAGAAGGGATCAACCCCTGGTGAAGGGCATCATGCTTGAGGATGTGGAGGGTCAATGAAAAAGAGGAAGACCCCCAATGAGATGAACTGACATAGTGACAGCAGAAATGGGCTCAAATGTAACAATTGTGAGGATGGGGCAGAACCAGGCAGTGTTTTGTTCTGTTGTGCATAAGCTATGAGTTGGAACTGGCTTGAGGGCACCTCAATAACAACTACCACTTAATTGTAAGCAATAGGTTGACCATTTGAACCCGCTAGTACTAGATAAGTACTGCTAACCACAAGATCAGTAGTTCAAACCCACCAATCCCTCTTCATAAAGCCTCTATAGGGTTACAGTGAGTCGTAACCAATTCCACAGCACTTAACAAAAACAAAAGCAGCTCTTCTGGAGAGAAATATTCAGTCTGCTTCCTTAAAGATCACAATCTTGGAGATCCTATGGGACAGTTCTATTTTGTCCTATAGGGTTTCTATGAGTCTGGTTTCTTGGAAGGAACACCTGGGTGATTCCATGGTTAATACACTCAGTGGTTAACCAAACACTTGAAGGTGCCTCGAAAGAAGGGCATGCTGATCTACATCTGAAAGAACTTTCATCAGTAGCCCTGTGGAATAGTTCTACTCTGACACACATCAAGGATTGTTATATGTCAGAATTGACTCTACAGCAACTGATGGTGGTGGTGAATCTCATCCTCCATTCATGTCTGCCTAATATATATATATTTAATTTCTTAACCCTGAATTACCTTCTATCAACTTCCTGTCTTCATTCTTTTCTACAGTCAAATTTCTTTAGAGTTTGGAGTTTTTAATTTTAATTTACCATTTCTCACATTATAGTACCTGACATACATTGTTGTTGTTGTTAAGTGCCGTCGAGTCGGTTCCGACCCATAGCGACCCTGTACAGGGTTTCCGAGGGTGTAAATCTTTACGGGAGTAGAAAGCCTCATCTTTCTCCCGCGGAGCAGCTGGTAGTTTCGAACAGCTGACCTTAAGGTTCGCAGCCCGATTCGTAACCACTACGCTACCAGAGCTCCTTACCTGACATAAATAGGAAACAATAAAGTACTCAGTAGAATCCTTTAATTCAAAAATTCAATAGTTAAAACACATCACAAGTTGACCTAGGAGAGTCTGAGCACCTGCCAAGGGATTTGTAGGAATGCTAGGGAAAGGAAAGAAGGCTCTAGAAAAAGGTGGCTCAGGCCCAGTCCTCATTCCAGATAAATTGATTTGTATTATTCAGAAAATGCTGTTTCATATTTGAAAAAGGAAGACATGGGGGAAAAATGTATGCATAGTTATTATGGAAACTTGAGGATTTTATATGTCTGATATTGCTCAATTCAAAACCATATTTCTATCCTGTTAAAAGGTGAAGAACAAGCATTCTACAAACTCTACATAGATACGTATTCACTGTACTTAAAAAAAGTTTATATTCCAGAAAATTACCTTTCGAAAGTGCAAGAGAATGATGATCTCCACATGCGATCTGAATTATAGACTTTTCTTGTAAAACACATTGAAACCTGATGAAAGAAAATATTTTGGAAGTCACCAAAATGAATGTCACAATTATCAAACTTAAAACTATTAACTGTACTTAATTAGGATTGAAAGGAGCTCTGGTAGCGTAGTGGTTACAAATCGGGCTGTAAACCTTAAGGTCAGCAGTTCGAAACTACCAGCTGTTCCGTGGGAGAAAGATGAGGTGTTCTGCTCTGGTAAATATTTACAGCCTCAGAAACCCTGAACAGCGTCGCTATGAGTCGGAACAGACTCCACAGCACATAACCACCACCAGCCAATTAGGATTGAAGCTCAAGTAAAACATTTAAATATACAAGCTCACATTTGTACTTTGAAAATTATTATTAACACAATAAAACAACTATTACAAAACACAACATACATGTTTTAATTGATGGAAAAGAATGTGTATTATGTAACTGGAATAAGATGATTCTAAACCAGTCTTTTGCGAACAATAACTTTATGATACAGTAATAATGTAAGATGGAAGGAAGTTCTAATTTATATAATTTACCAGGAAAACCTCAGAAATAATTCTATGATAATGCAGGTTTGTTTGTTGCTGTTTTTTCCTTCTAAGTTGGAAAAAAGATTTCTATTTTTTTGAGACATAACTTCTGTAGGAAAATGTTACTATATATGGTAACGTATTCCTATGAAAGTTATTATTTTCCCTTTAAGTAAAATTTAAATAAAATTAAAAGATTTTTGTTTCTCTGCTGCTATTGGCATTTCTTAGAATCTGTTTTTATTTTTAAAAAAATTTTTTTTATTGATTTTAGTGAAGGTTGGCAGAGCAGTTTAGGTTTCCATTTTTTTTTAACCAATTTCTATACAAGTTGTTCAGTGACATAAGTTACATTCTTCACGATGCGTGAGCATTCTCATTATTTCTGTTCTAGTTGTTCCATTAAAAGTAAATTTTAATAAAATAAAGAGAGTTCCTTACCGGGCATGTTCTATACTAAAGTTGTACTCAAATGGTTTTCCATCTGAAGACAGAATCAGCATGTGCTCTGCTCCTTGGTCCATGGAATATATCTTCATATTTCTTTCTAATTTAATATACTCTGAAGAGCAAATGCAATCAGGAACTAGCATTATTCTGTTTACTACCCATGATTATCATTACTGATTTAATTATAATATACTTACAACAGCTGGGAAAAAATTCCACTAGACAACTTTTGATTTAATGTGAATTTGTTTTCAAGAAAATTCAAATATGAAAAGCATACAAACTAAGAATGATTATTGTCTTAGAAAAAGCTTTTTTTTTTTCTATTTTTTCCCCCACTTTGGGTACGCATTAATACATACTTTGCTTTAAATGGGATATGCCCTTTAAACAGTAGATTCGTTATTTGCTTTTACATTCTTATCTAATTAGTTGAGACAAAGAAATGTAAGGTTGATATGATAGAAATGACAAAATATATAAACACATATAAAAATTTTTAATTTAGGACAACATAACTCACATATATATGTCAGGAACACATACAATTATATGGTGTGTTTTGCGATGCTTTCTCTTAAAAAAGCAAACAAATATAATAAACCTCTTTTGACTGCTCCAAATAGAAGTCAGGCTTATATTCCTAAAAGGTATGATTGAGCTTATGGAACTATTTCAAAGGGAATGATGTAGAAAATGTTGCATTATTTTATATTTGTATATTCAGATACATGTTTAAAATAAATAATGAAAAGGATTGACAGCTCAATTTTTTTTTACAAACCAGGCTAAGATATAAATAGGCAACTTACAAAAAAACAAGTAAACGACCAATAAAGAACTGACGAGATGCTTGACTTGACTCTAAATGCAAAACAAACAGTAAGATAACATTTCTTCAAAGATGCCAATTGCATAAAGTTTCAGAGCTTAAAAATGTGGGTTATGTCTCTCATTTGCAGATGATATGATCCTATACAAAGAAAACCCCCAAAGACTCAGTGAAACCTACTACTAAAACTCATTAGAGGATTTGGCAAAGTGTCACGGTACAAGGTCAACATACATAATCAGTCAGTGTCCTATATACTAATAATGAAAAGGAAATTAGGAAAGTAAGACCATTTACAATCGCTGCCTCCCACCCCCAAAATCACAGGAAATAGAAGGAAATACTGTTGAATGATGATGCATGGAAGGGATTGTAATCACTGCAATGATCCAAAATACAATAGGATGAATGTAAAAGCGATATTCTCCCACATAAACTATCACTCAATTCACAATAAAAACTTAAAAAAATAATGTGGGTTTTGTATATGTATTATCAATTCATTTTCTAAAGTGTGTTAAATCTACACAAGAGGGAAAGAATCTTATCATTAAATGCTACAGGGAAAACTGGATTTTCACAAGCAAGACCTTGATCCATACCACACACCATATACAAAAATTAAATCAAAATCTATCAATGACCTAAATGTAAGAAATGAAATCATAAAATTATTGTTGTTATTAGGTGCCATCAAGTCGGTTCTTATCCATAGAACCCTATGTACAACAGAACGAAACACTGCCCAGTCCAATGCCATCCTCACAATTGCTGCCACATTTGAGCCCATTGTTGCTGTCACTGTGCCAATCCATCTAGATGTGGGTCTCCCTCTTTTTCACTGTCTCTCCACTTTACCAAGCATGAAGTCCTCCTCCCAGGAATGGTCCCTCCTGATAATATGTCTAAAGTCTGAGAGACAAAGTCTGGTCACTTTGGCTTTTAAGAAGCATTCTGGTTGTACTTCTTCCAACACAGATTTGTTTGTTGTTTTGGCAGTCCATGGTACTTTCAATATCCTTTTCCAACAATACAATTCAAATACATCAATTCTTCTACAGTCTTACTTATTCGTGGTTTTAACTTTCATGTGCATATGACGCTATTGAAAAATCATGACTTGGATAAGGCACACTTTAATCCTCGAACTGACATCTTTACTCTTCAACATTTAAAAAGGTCGTGTGCAGCAGATTTGCCTAATGCAATACATCGTTTTATTTCTTGACTGCTGCTTTCAAGAATGTTGATGGTTGATCTGACCAAAATGAAGTCTTTGACAACTTCAATCCTTTCTCCATTTATCATGATGTTGTTTATTGATCCAGTGGTGAGGGTTTTTGTAATTTTTACATTGAGGTGCAACCCATACTGAAGGCTAAGGTCTTTGGTCTTCAGTAAGTATTTTAATACTTTTTCTCTTTCAGCACGCAAGGTTGTATCATCTGCACATTGTAAGTTGTTAATGAGCCTTCTTCCAATTCTGATGCCACATTCTTCTTCATGCAATCCATCTTCTTGGATTATTTGCTCAGCATACAGATTGAGTAGTATGGTGAAAGAACGCAACCCTGGCACACACCTTTCCTGATTTTAAACCATTCAGTGTCTCCTTGTTCTGTTTGAACAACTGCCTCCTGGACTGTGTACAGGTCTCTTACGAGCTTGATTAAGTGTTCTGAAATACTCATTGTCCACAATGTTGTCCATAGCTTAAAACCTCTGCATAGTTGTAAGAAATAAGAAACAAAGGGACAAGGAGAGAGTCTTGGCTTCAACAGCAGACAGTTTTATTGAGAGTAAATCTAGAAGGGGTACTCTAAGTCACCAAAAGAGACCAAGAGCCCGCCTGATTCTTACAGACTGGGGTATTCTGTAGGCGGTGTGGTCCTGGGTACAATTCTGGCCAGTTTTCAATGGGTAGGGTTATGGAGATTTTCCTGAAACCTGAAATTACTGGGTGGAGGGTCTCTAGTTGTAATAAAGACTTCAGCTTTCTGGAGACTTTCTGGAGACTTTATTCAGCGCTACTTGGGGGTAGTTGCAATGCCATTTTGTTGATCAGGCGCAGGGTCCTTCAATAGTCAATAAAGCACAGGTAAACATCTTTCTGGTAATTTCTTCTTCAGCCAAGAACCATCTGATGTCAGCAATGATAACCCACATTCCACGTTTTCGTTTGGATCTGGCTTGATCTTTTGGGAGTTCACTGTCAATGTATTGTTGCAGTTGTTTTTTTTAACTATCTTTAGCAAAGTTTTACTTGCATGTGATATTAATGATATTGTCCTATGATTTCCACATTCTGTTGGGTCACCTCTCATTGTAACTGGTACAAATATGGATCTCTTCCAGTCAGTTGGCCAGGTAGCTGTCTTCCAAATTACTTGGCATAGATGAGTAAGTGCCTCCAGAGATGTATCAGTTTGTTGAAAGGTTTCTATTTGGATTCCATCAATTCCCAAATCCTTATTCTTTGCCAGTGCCTTCAGTGCACCTTGAACTTCTTCCTTCAGTTTTGTTGGCAACCTCTTGAAATGGTTGAACATCGACCATTTTTTTGTGTTATTTGTTATTATGTGCCGTGGAGTTGGTTCCGACTCATAACAACCCTGCATAGGGTTTCAGAGGCTATAAATCTTTACAGGAGCAAAAAGCCTCATCTTTCTCCCGTGGAACAGCTGGGAGTTTCGAACTACTGACCTTGTGGCTCACAGCCCGATTCATAACCACTACGCTACTATAGTGATTCTGTATTCCTTCCATCTTCTTGTGATGCGTTCTGCATTATTCAATGTTTTGCACATAGAATCCTTCAATACCACAAGCCAAGGCTTGAATTTTTTCTTCAGTTCCCTTAGCCTGAGAAACGCTAAGTGTGTTCTTCTCTTTTGGTTTTATAACTCCAGGCCTTTGCACATACTGTTATAATATTTCACTGTCTTCTATAGCTAAACTTTGAAATTTTCTGTTCAGCTCTTGTACCTCCTCACTTATTCCATTTGCTTTAGCATCTCTATGTTAGAAAGCAAGTTTCAGAGTCTCTTCTGACATTCATTTTTATCTTTTCCTTCTCTCTAGTCTTCTTTATGACCTTTTGCTTTCTTCCTGTATGATGGATGATATTGATATCATCACCCAACTCCTCAGGTTGTCTTCAGTCTTTAGTGTCTTATGAATCAAATCTGTTCTTTAGATTATCTCTAAATTCAGGTGAGATATGTTCAAGGTCTTATTTTGGCTCTTGTGAACTTGTTTTTATTTGCTTTAGCTTCAGCTTTAACTTGTTGAACAGACTGCCTCTGGCCTTCTTTTAGCTGATGATATGGAGCTTTTCTGCCTTCTTTTCCACACATGTAGTTAATTTGATTTCTGTGTATTCCAAATGGTGAGGTCCATGTGTATGTTTCTGTTGTTGTTGTTAAGTGCCATTGAGTAAGGATCCGACCCATAGTGACTCTGTACTGGGTTTCCCAGGTGAAAGCTTGAACTGCAGGCCTCCTGGTTCAAGTGGACTTTGCAGTCCACTGCATTAACCAACAGCACCACACCAGGACTCCCATGTGTACAGTCGTCTTTTATGTTGTTTATAAAAGGTATTTGCAATGAAGAAATCATTGATTTTGCAAAATTGTGTCATACCATCTCCAGCATCCTTTCTATCACCAAGGCCATATTTTCCAACAACTGATCTTCCTCTTTGTTTCCAACCTTTGCATTCTAATCAAAAGTAATTATCAATATATCTTGACTAAATGTGTGTTCAATTTTAGGCTGCATAAGTTAGTAGAATATTTCCATTTCTTTGTCATTGGCTTTAGTGGGTGATGCATAAATTTGAATAATAGTGGTATTAATTGGTCTTCCTGGTAGGCGAATGGATTTTATCCTATCACAGACAGTATTGTATTTCAAGATAAATCTTGAAATATGCTTTTTGATGATGAATATGATGCAATTGCTCATTAATTTGTCATTCCCGGCATAGGAAACAAGGTTCAAAATGACCAATGCCAGTCCATTTCAGTTCATTAATGCCAAGGATATCAATGTTTACATGTTCCATTTTGTCTTTGACAACTTCAATTTTCCTAGATTCATATTTCAGACATTTCATGTTCCAATGATTAATGAATGTTAACAGCTGTTTCTCCTCATTTTGCGCTGCATCCCATCCGCAAATGAAGGTCCCAAAGGTACTTCATTTGCATCATGAAGGTCAACTCAAAAGGTTACTTAACCTCGTGGTCAAACTCTCTAGTGGTTCGGGGAGGGATAGGTGTAGTAATCTATTCCTTAAATATTACAGCCTTGAAAATTCTATGGAGCAGTTCTACTGTGTTGTTATGAGTCAGAACCACATTACCTGAATTTGTATCTGTAGAGACAGGATTTCAGGGAAGTGCAACTGAAAGCACTGTTAAAATTGCTACCGAACACAATATACTTGTGAACAAGTAAACTATCTTATCTGAAAGCTCACAAAATTAAGGCAGACATGTCTAAGGAGTAAAGGGGGGGGGGCAATGGGGGTGGCTCGAAAAAGAAACGTTATAGAGGAAAGACTAAGCTAAGAAAGACAAAGATTCTGCCCACATACTCTCCCTTCACACCTCCATCAAGTTACAGGTTCTAGCTCCTTTTTTTGGAGTTAGGATTTTTATTCATTTCTCCTTTTCAATTAAATTGAACAGAGTACATACATAAGGGCCAAACTAAACAAAGATTCTGTCAACATTCTGAAAACTCTGGACCAGTTGGTGGAGAAGTGGGTTAAGGGTGGGGCAGGAGAATTCGCTGGCCTGCAAAAGTCCACTTGAACCCGGAGGCCTGCGGGTTCAAGTGGACTTTGGACATGAACTGCTCCTTGGAAACCCTATACAGGGTCGCTAGGGGTCGGACAGAACCCGACTCGACAGCACTTAACAACAACAACAATGACAAGCTAACCAAAAAGTTCAGTAATTTGAGCTCACTAGCTGCTCTTCAGGAGAAAGATGATGCTGTCTGGTTCCAAACTGATGTACAGCCTCGGAAATACTGACCATCTATCTCTAGCCTGTCTTATAAAGTCGCTATGAATCAGGAATCCACTTGATGGCAGTGGGTTTGGTTTTAGGTGTGCTGCATCTGCGAAAATGAAAAATGGTCAGAGCAGGCACGTATCTATGGCAATTTCGGGATGCTTCAGTCAGTGCCTGGCTCACTAGTGAGATTTCATTTCCGCTTAGAGCAGAGTAGGAACATACATCACAACTCCTACAGCACAGGCCATCAGTCGTCCACCCTGCACCCCCCAGCCCAAGGCGGCGAGGCCTTACTCACTGGGCTTCCTGGGGCCGGTGCTCCTCTGCTGCAGCAGGTGAACCTCAACCGAGGTCCCGCCGCGCGCCAGCACCGCCAGGCGTCCCCCAGAGCAGCAGATTTGGCGCGTCTGCTTGAATTTCCCGGACAAGGCGCTGTAGAGTTCCGCGGGGCTGGGGAAGAGCCAGAGCGGTGCGGCCCGCGGCTTGGAGGAAGCTGCGGAGCGGGGTACGTCGGGACTCAATACGGTATGCGGCTTGGGAGTCGAGTACACAGGGTGCCTTGTCCGCTCCATCGCCGCTATCGGAGACTCCACGGACGCGCCTCCCCTTTCTGGACTCTGAAGGGCAGCGGAAGATGATGGACGCCTGAGTGCGTCCACTGCCTCCCGGCGTAGCTGTGCAGAGCAGCGGAGAACCGATGATGTATCGGGACCGCAGCCTCTGCTCCTCTCCTCCTCAAGCGCTGGGCTCTTAACCAGCTGTTTGGGGGCGGGGCCGGCCGCTGCAGGGAAACGAAACCAAATCTGTTTTTAAGGCTGTGCAATCGAAACGAAGAAGGAAAATGAATCTGAAATGGTGAAAGACTGGCTTGATATTCGACCAAAGTACAAAGTAAACAAGTCTGTAAGGAGCTCTGGTAGCGTAGTGGTTACGAATCGGGCTGCGAACCTTAAGGTCAGCAGTTCGAAACTACCAGTCGCTCCGCGGGAGAAAGATGAGGCTTTCTACTCCCGTAAAGATTTACACCCTCGGAAACCCTGTACAGGGTCGCTATGGGTCGAACCTGACTCGATGGCACTTAACAACAACAACAACAAACAAGTCTGTGGCAGAGTTTGAAGTTGTCTACAACGGTGAAAAGATGTGGTGGCGTCACTGGAGTTTGGCGTCATCCAGTTGTTGTTAGATGCCATCGAGTCGATACTGACTCATAGAGATCCTGTGCACAACAGAACTTAATCTCACAATCGTTGCTACGTTTGAGCCCACTGATGCTGCCACTGTGCCAATCCATCTCGCTGGGGGTCTTCCTCTGTTTCTCTGTCCCTCCACCTTACCAATCATAATGTCCTTCTCCAGGGACTGGTCCCTCCTGACCATATGTCAGGAGTATGAAAGACAAAGTCTGGCCTCTTGGCTCCAAAGAGCACTCTAAATGTACTTCTTCCAGCATAGGTCTATTTTTATCTTTTGGCAGTCTAGTTTGGTAACTCCTTATTAATATTTATTATTAATAATATGAGATATGAGATAATATGAGATAAATAGAGTTGCAAATTGCTTTTTGTTGTTGTTAAGGTTCTTGAGTTGTTCTAACTCGAAGTGGTACTGCCAGGACCTGTGCTATCCTCACAATTGTTGCTGTGTGTGAACCCATTGCTGTAGCCAGTGTATTAGTCCATCTTGTGAAACAATTAGGATGTTGGCAAAGAATATTAAATATACCGTGGACTGCCAGAAAGCTAACAAATCTGCTTTGGAAGAAGTACAGCCAAAATGTTCCTTAGAATCAAGGATAGTGAGACTTTATCTCACAGACTTTGGACAAGTTATCAGGAAGGACCTGTCTATTCAAATCCTTTGCTTGTTTTGTTTTGTTTTGTTTTTTAATTGGGTTGTTTGTCATATTCTTGAAAGGTTCTTTAGATATTATATTTGAATTCTTTTTATATTATATATGGTTCTTTACTACTTTTTTGAAATAGTTTCTCCCTGTAACTAGTCTTTTCATTTTATTGGCTTTTGAAGTGCTAAAAGTTTTTAGCTTCAATCAAGTCCAATGTATCATATTTTTCTTTTAGTTTGTGCTTATTCTTAGAACTATTCAAGAAATTTTTGTTTGGCCATGGTGGTGGTAGTGGTGGTTGTGTGCCATGGAGTCAGTTCCAACTCATAGTGACCCTGTACAGGATTTCTGAGACTGTAAATCTTTACAAGAGCAGAAAGTCTCATCTTTCTCCCACGGAACAGCTGGTAGTTTCAAACTGCTGACCTTGAGGCTTGCACTCTAATTCGTAACCACTACGCTACCATAGCATACTGGTTACGAATCGGGCTGCGAACCGGAAGGTCAGCAGTTCGAAACTACCAGCTGCTCCGCGGGAGAAAGATGAGGCGATCTGCTCCCGTAAAGATTTATAGCCTCGGAAACCCTATTCAGGGTCGCTATGGGTCGGAACCGACTCGATGGCACTTAACAACAACAACAACAACGCTACCATAGAACCAATAGATCTGTTTTGGAAGAAGTGCAACCAGAGTGCTCCTTGGAGGCCAGGATGGCTAAGCTTTGTCTCATACTTTGGACATATTGTCAGGAGGGAAATGTCGCTGGAGAAGGATGTCATGCTGGGTAAGACGGAGGGTCAGAGAAAAAGAGGAAGACCCCCAACGAGATGGATCGGCCAGGTGGCGTCATTGATGGTGTCAAGTGTGTCAGCAGTAGTGAGGTTGGCCCAGGATCAGAGATGGTTTCATTCTGCTGTGCATGGGGTCGCTATGAGTCGGTTCCGACTAGATGGCACCTGACAGCAACAACAACAATGCTACCATACCTCTTTATTTTGCCATAGTTTATTTTAAAAATTTCATGTTATCTTCTAGAAATTTTATAGTTTTTACTCTTGCATTTATGCATTCTTTTCTAGTTCAAGTTAATGTTGTTTATGGTGTGAGTTAAGGGTTGTTGTTAAGTGCTTCCTTCTTGGTTCTGGCTCATAGAGACCTTGTATAGGATTTCTGAGAAGTGACTGGTGAGTTTGAATTGCCGACCTTGTGGTTCAAACCAACCTCGTGGTCCAGTGCTTATCCTACAGTGCCGCACTGTACACTGTACAGGACTCCAGAGTTAAGGGTAGAGGTTCATTTTTTTCCCCTCCTTTTCCTTAGGGATTTTCATTTCTTCCAACTCCAGTTGTTGAAAAGACAGTCTTTCCCCATTGAATTGTTGGCATCATTATCAAATATCAGTTGGCCACATACGAATATGACTGGATTTATTTCTAGACTTTTCATTCTGTTCCGATGATCTCTCTATATATTTTTATTCTAATACAATCCTGTCTTGATTGCTATGACTCCAAAGTAGATCTCAAAATCAATTCATACAAGTGCTCAAACACTGTCCTTTTTCAATGACATTTGTCTATTTGCATTTGCATGTACATTATAGGATTAATATTTCAGTTTCTACAAAACAGACTGCTTGGGGACTGCATTGAATCTAAAAATCAACTTGGAAAAATTTGGCATCTTAATATATTAGTCTTCTGATCTATAAGTATGATGTCTCTGTTAATTTAAATCTTTCATCGTCTCTTTCATAAAAACATATTTTGCAAAATTTATGCTTAAGTACCTATTTTTAGTGGTATTGCAAATGATATGGTAAAATTTCAACTTGTAATTGGTTTTTGTTGGCAAAGAGAAATAAAATTGATTTTTAATGTTAATTTGTACAATGAGATTATTTTATACTTGTTTGTTAGGTCTAGTAGTTTTATTCTTTTGTAGATTCCTTAGGGTTTTATACATAATCATATTGTCGGCAAATAAAATAGAGTTTTACTCCTTCCTTTTTAATTTGTGTGCCTTGTCTTTCTTTTCCTTGTCTCATTAAATGAACTAGTACCTTTAGTATACTGTTGTTATTGTTGTTAGGTGTCATCTAGTTGGTACCAACTTATAGCAACTCTATGCACAAAAGAACAAAACACTGCATAGTCCTGAGCCAACGTCACAATTATCAATACACCTGAGCTCATTGCTGCTGCCATTGTGCCAATCCATCTTGTTGGGGTTTTTTTCTTTTTTCCTCGAACCCCAATTTTACCAAACATGATATCCTTCTCCAGGGACTAATTCCTCCTGATAATGTGTCTAAAGTATAAGAGACAAAGTTTGGCCATTCTGGCCTCCAAGGAGCATTCTGGCTGTACTTCCAACACTGATCTGTTCGTTCTTTTGGCAGCCCATGGCACTTTCAATATTTTCCTCCAACACCATAATTCAAAAGCAGCAATTCTTCTATGCTCTTCCTTATTCACTGTCCAGCTTTTGCATGCATATGAAATTATTAAAGATAACATGGCTTGGGTAAGGTGCGCCTGAGTCCTCAAACTGAAATCTTTGGTCTTTAACACTTTAAAGAGGTCCTGTGCAGCAGATTTGCCAAATGCACTAAGTTGTTTGATTTCTTGAAAGCTGCTTCCATGAGTGTTGATGGTTAGTCAAAGCATAATTAAGTCTGACAACTTCAATGTTTTCTCCATTTATACGGATGCTGTCTTTGGTCCAGTAATGAGGATTTTTGTTTTCTTTACATGAGATGCAACCTATGCCAAAAGGCTGTGGTCTTTGATCTTCATCAATGAGTACTTTAAATCCTCTTCATTTCCAGCAAGCAAAGTTGTAGTATCTGCATATCACAGGCTGTTAACGAGTCTTCATCCAATCCTGATGCCACGTTTTTCTTCATATAACCCAGCTTTTCGGATTATTTGCTAAGCATATAATTAAATAAGTATGGTGAAAGAATACAACCCTGGCACACACCTTTTCTAATTTTAAACCGTTCAGTGTTCCCTTAATCTGTTTAACAACTGCCTTTTAGTTTATGTACAGGTTCTTCATGAGCAAAATTAAGTGATCAGAATACTCTTGCAATGTTGTCCATAGCTTTTCATGATCCACACAATCAAAGCCTTTGTGTAGCCAATAAAACACAGGTAAACATCTTTCTGGTATTCTCTGCATTCAGCCAAGATCCATTTGATATCAGCAGTGATACCTCTTGGTACACATCCTCTTCTGAATCCGGCTTGAATCACTGAAAGTTCTCTGTCAATGTATGATTATAATCCTTTTTGTGTTATCTTTAGTAAAACTTTACTTGCATGGGATAGCAACAATATTGTCCGATGAATTCTACATTCTTTTAGGTCACCTCTTTTTGGAATGGGCACAAATATGGATCTTTTCCAGTCAATTACCCAGGTAGTTGCCTTATGAATTTCTTGGCATAGATGAGTGCGCACCTCTAGTGCCGTATCAATTTGTTGAAATATTTCTATTTGTAATCCATCAATTCCCAGAGCTTTGTTCTTTGCCAATGCCTTCAATACACCTTGGACTTCTTCCTTTAGGATCATTGATTCTTGATCATATGACACCTCTGGAAATGGTTGAACATCGACCATTTAATTTTGCTACAGTGACTCTGTGTTTTCCTTCCATCTTCTTTTGGTGCTTTCTGCATCATTCAATACTTTCCACATAGAATCTTTTAATAATG